TCTTTTTGGGCTGATATAAAGAATCCCAAGTGTTCGCACCGGCGCCTCCCGCACCATGCCGTGGAGTTTTTCCAAACACATTTTTTGTGAAGGATGCTGTTTTAAGTAGCTATTCGGACACAAGAGAAGTACAAAGCCTTCTTTACGTAATAGGCTAAATACTCATTTAGCAACCAAATGTTACACTGCGTCTAACAATTAACTAATAGAAACAATTCACACTGAATGAGAGGCCTATGTGAGTCCACCACGAGTTTCAGTTTCATTAAATAGGTTTGTTATAGGCTTAACATTTAAAATAATTGTTGTTTGTAATGAATGGCAGTATAATTTATTTTTATTTTATAGATACATGCTTTTTTTTTAATGCCATTTGGAGTTGGGGAAGAAAAATACATGTTTATAGCATTTATAATGTCTGTTGGGTTTCTTAACATTCATTTTATTTTTGTTTTTGAAAGTAATAGTAAAGTGTGACTTATACACCTTATACATTATGTTCATTATTCTCCCACCAACATTAACTTTAGCCTTAAACACTGATATAATTATTAGGGGGTCCTTAGAAAATCTGCAAGGGGTCCCTGGCTCCAAAAATTTTGGAAAACCCCTCCTCGATACTTCTATGGCTCTCAACAGATTCAGTGGTTGGAGTTGGGTTAATACTCCTTGACAAGTTATGTTGCTACTTTCTGATTACGTTTCTGGCTACATATAGATCATTTAATAATTGATGAAATGCTAAAATGTTTCTTTGTTTTCAATTTCCAAATAGGTGTCCAGTGATTGATAAATGAATATCTGACTGCTGAATATTGTACCCTAATTGAAGTAACTGTTTAGTAGGATAAGGAATTTGCTTACCATTGCATGAATGACTGCATATTATTATATTTATGATTAACAATCAAATGATTAATTAGTTAGAAACTAGTTGCTATTAATACAGGTGCCATCAGTTGTCTTCTTATGAATGACTTGTTTGTCATTGAATCAGTGTTGCTGATGCAAAATAAGCCCTTCGTTACCAAACACCAAGTAACTAAATTAAGATACAATCATGAGTTCTTTGCAAACTGTTAAACATTAAACTGTTGGTTACTTAAAACTAACCTTCATCTGGGAAATCACAGGGATATGTGAATATTTGATCTG